GCTTCAACCATTGGTAAAAGATCTACCCAGCTATCTTAGGGATACGAAACAGCTACTTAATATCTGTCAGGATTTAAGTTGGGAAGAGGATGGGTGTGAATGTGTTTAGTTTGTATTCATCTATACCACGCACATTGGGATTAAAAAGCAGTGAGATTTTTTTTTACTCCACTACAGTAATTATTCCCTTATCCATAAGGAATATAACTTGGAGTATCTGGAGTACTTGCTTTTGCATATTTCCTTTCTAATTTGATGGAGTCTTTTACCTCCAGAGGTGCGGGGCTGCTATGGGCGCCCGGTTTTCACTCTCTCTCACCAACCTGTATATGGGTTGGTGGAAGAGGGTACTCAGCTTTGGAGGTATGAACCCCTTTAGGTCCCACTTCAAATTTTATTTTCACCATATAGATGATCTGTTGTTTGTTCAAACGGTATGGGCACCTTAGAGGAGTTTTTGCTATATTTAAATGGTGATAATTTAAACTTAGTGCCTACTGTATAGAGGAGTTGCGATAAAATTTCCTTTTTGGATGTTACTGTTAGATATTCTGTATATAGACCTACAGAACAGACAGTGCACAGTCCACATGTGTTTACTGTATATGCTGCTTCTTGGCAAACAGGAAACAGGAATTTTATTATAGAAAAAGACATAGCATTTACCAATAGCTACAGCTACAAACCTATAACCATTGTCATCTACTGGTTGAAGAATATATTTCTACTGAATACTGATGTAGTTTTTGTACATAAAGTGACAATTGTATTCCAACACCCCCACTCAACAACTACTCCTTATATTAGTCTCATTTCAGTTCTATAAATCTGTTTCAGTTCACTAAGAGATGTTATCTCTTCATTGGCAGCTTGGATCCACTTCTGTTTCTCATGGGTTGCAAGTCTTTGCATCTCATCCCATGAATCTGGCTCTGGTTTTCATGTTAAGCGAGCAACATAGGATAGACGTTTGGCTGCGATGCCTTTAGTGCTTCTGGTGGATTTCCTGATTAAAGACTCTTGTGGCCTGGTATCCTCTTTTACAGTATTTGGATTGTCTGCATTAATTTCTATTTCTGTGTCACTTGTTGCTTATCTTCATGTGACATTGATGTGGAATTTCCCTCCGTGTGAAGCGTTTGTATTAGCTCATGAAATTCTGAACACACTGAAGTTTCATCGACAATTACACTTCTATTGATGGTTACCTTGTTTGTTTCTTGGTGTAGAATTTTGTATGCCTTTTGTGATTCACTGTACCCCACAAGTACACCTTCCTTTGCGCAAGCTTCCCATTTTGTACACTTTTCTTTTGGTATCTGCACATAGGCTTTGCTCTAAACATTTTTAAATTGTTCAAATTTGGAGCCTTTCTATTCCACAGTTCATATGGAGTTCTCTCAGTTGATTTTCCTGGTAGATGATTTTGGAGATAGAATACGGTCACAATTGCTTTCCCCCGTTTTGTGGCTGGCATATCTGCATCACACAGCATGTTTCTTTCACTCTCACATAGAGTACGGTTCATTCTTTCTGCAACCCACTTTTGTTCTGGGTTGTAAGATACAGTAGTTTGAAATTTTATGCCATGCTTTCTGAAAATCCCGTGTGTTATCACTTGTATATTCAGTCCATTGTCTGTGCACAATACACTCGGCATTTTACCAAATTTGTTGCTTACTTAAGCCAAATACTGTTCCAGTTTCTCTGGTACTTCACTAAAAGATATAGTGTACTATACCTGGAATAACCATCTATAAAAGTGAGAAAACACTTCTTTCCTGGAATCAATTTTTTTCCATTGGACCACAAAGATCTGAATGAATTAAGTCTGGAGGTTTCTTTTTAGCTTTGCTGTTACTCTGCTTTGGAAAGACTTTTCTTGTTATTTTTCCTTCTATACAGCTGGTGCATTTTATTTTTTGATCACATGGACTAATTTTTATTCCACTGTCATAGTAATTCTCAGTTAATTTCTTTATTATATCAGGACTTCTGTGCCCAAGTCATTTGTGCAATGTGTGAATGCAGTTTGAATGTTTTTCTGCCTTGGCAAGTATTAACCACCTCATTGCAGTTCAGCTAATACAGTTCATCTGGAATTTTAGCCTTTGCAAGTAAGATATGCCCTTTTGTGATGGGCACAACTGTCATCTTGGAAGGTCACTACATTGCCTTGTATTGTGGACTTCTTCACTGACAAAATATCAGCTTCAAGAGTAGGAACATACAGAACATTTTTCACAGGTATCTTTCTAGTGACAATCTGGGAAATAGAACAGAAAACAAAAACTGGCTCCTATTCCTTCAGACTCTATTATTTTCCCATTAGCTTTGGTGATTTTGCTGTTTTACTCTGATCTTCTATGCTAAGAAAGATCTCTGATCTTTATGATCTTTCTCCATCCACTCATCTGAAGGGTGTTCTGGCCTGGTTTCATTTATACAATTCCATGCACCTTCTCTTATTAGCAGCATTTTCATCTTGAATTTCCAAGACTGGTTCTGGTTTGTCAGATTTGAAAAAGAAAGCTTTGTACAGCTGTGCTGCTGGCCCTTTTCTTTTATTCTATTGCAGTCCTCTTTCTGTTGCTGTATCTTGCACTTCTTTGCTGTAGCAGGCTATGCCTGGGCATCTGGGCCTATGCATTGTTAGCAATTCTGTATATAGCCTTACAGAACAGACAATGCACAGTCCACATGTGTTTACTTGCTGCTTCACTACAAACAGGAATGTTATTGCCAGGAATGGACTAGCCAGCAATGGTGGGACTCACCTGCCTTTTGATCTGCAGTACCAGGGCTGGCCAGCGGATGCTCCCAGCAATCAGAGACTCAACTTTGCAGCCAGCTAACACCTGGAACTGATTATGCTGGGGTATTTAAGGGATGGCCAGACCCGCAGACTCTGCCTTGGTGTTGTGTTTCTCTTGGGCCCTGTATCCTGTTCCTGCTCTCTGTTCCTGTCTGATTCTCTGCTACCTGTTCTGATCCCTGGCTTGTCTGACCATCCCTCTGCCTGACCCTCTGTACTACGCTGCCTGCTACCTGTTCTGATCCCTGGCTTGTGACCCTGACCATCCCTCTGCCTGACCCTCTGTACTACGCTGCTAGCTACCTGCTGAACCTGGCCTGTGACCCCGACCAATCTCCGCTTGCTCCCCCTGTACCTACCTGCCCAATTGATATTGACCCGGCCTGCCTGACGACGCTTGCTTGTATGTACTGTTATCTGTGGGTGGTTGGTTTGGTTTGTTTGCACTGTATTATGTTTAGTATTGCACTGCGTTTATGTTTGTATTGTTAGTGTTAATAAATTATATTGTTTATCACATATCTGAAGTCTGCGTTTCCCTGCGTCAGTCACACACCTCTGGTCACACCTGGGAGCCCTGACATTACACCAAGGCCAATCCTGACCAGAAGTGGCTGCACAGGGAAGCCATCTTGGCTTGTTGCTGGGAAGGATGGATCTGGATGAGGTTGTGTATTTATATCTGCTAGTGTTTGATGACAGGGAGTATGCTTATCAAACTCTGAAGGAGTATCCCAGGGATCAACTACTAGAATGTATACGGCTCGCTCATGTTCTAGTAGATCAGGGCACAGAGTTCTCTGAGGTGCAGCCATTGATTGAGGTTTGTGCTGAGTTGGTTTCATCTGGTTCCCCCGAATGCAGGGATGAATTTTTGCCACCATTTAGTGCAGACCAGGTAGAGTCCCTGGTGTGGTTATTAGAGGATGATGTGGGTTACTTTCTGGAGCGTTATTCCACATGTTCACCACAGACACTAAGAGATTGTATAAACGCAGTGCAGTCATTGACCAGACAGGCTTTGTGTAAGCTCAGCTTTGTTCAACCCATACTGCAGACATGGACAGACTTGTTGCACCCAGCCTCAGTCAGCTTACAAAGACTCAGTCCTGCTTCTAACTCTACTCCTGTATTCCCACCAGCTCCTCCAGTTACAGCCCAGTATACTTGGCTATCTACCGCATGTCAGTACCCTGTTCCCACTCGCTGCACCTATCCTGCCTTTAACCCTGTAAAAAAGCCCTCTGTAGCAACTGCTCCCTCTCCTGTTCCATCCTCCAGTTTTTCTCTGTCTCCAGCTGCTCCATTCGTTTGCAGACCTGCGTTTACTTGCAGTGCTCCAGTAGTTAAAACCAGAAAAAAGCGAAAATTCTTTCCAACCAATACCATCCTGCCAGTATCCAAACCGGTGAACCTGCCTTCCGTGACTCAGCCTGAAGCCTCTACTCAGCCTGAAGCCTCTACTCAGCCTGAAGCCTCTACTCAGCCTGAAGCCTCTACTTCTCGGAGCCTGATGCCTCTCTTCAGCCTGATGCCTCTCTTCAGCCTGATGCCTCTTTTCAGCCTGATGCCTCTACTCAGCCTGATGCCCTCTCTTCAGCCTGAAGCCTCTACTCAGCCTGAAGCCTCTACTCAGCCTGAAGCCTCTACTCGGCCTGATGCCTGCATTCAGCCTGATGCCGCTACTCAGCATGATGAACTGATCCAGCCCGACGATCCTATTAGGCCAGTTGACTCGATGCCCGCTGTTGATCCAGATGATCCGGTACCTGATCCGGTGCCCACAGTCTTGCCGGACGACTCGGTGCCCGCAGTCTTGCCGGACGACTCAGTGCCCGCAGTCTTGCCGGACGACTCGGTGCCCGCAGTCTTGCCGGACAACTCGGTGCCCGCAGTCTTGCCAGACGACTCGGTGCCCGCAATTCCGCCAGTTGACTCGATGCCCGCAGTCCCGCCTAGCCAGTTGACTCGATGCCCGCTGTTCCGCCAGTTGACTCGGTGCCCGCAGTCTTGCCAGACGACTCGGTGCCCGCAGTCTTGCCAGACGACTCGGTGCCCACTGTCGTGCCTGGTGACTCGGTGCCCGCCGCTTCGTCTGGGGGCCCGAGACCTGTCGCTCCACCTGGGGGTCCGGCGCCCGCCGCTCCACCTGAGGGCCCGAGACCTGTCGCTCCACCTGGGGGTCCGGCGCCCGCCGCTCCGCCTGAGGGCCCGAGACCTGTCGCTCCACTTGGGGGTCCGGCGCCCGCCGCTCCGCCTGAGGGCCCGAGACCTGTCGCTCCACTTGGGGGGTCCGGCGCCCGCCGCTCCGCCTGGGGGCCCGAGACCTGTCGCTCCATCTGGGGGTCCGGCGCCCGCCGCTCCGCCTGAGGGCCCGAGACCTGTCGCTCCGCCTGGGGGCCCGAGACCTGTCACTCCATCTGGGGGTCCGGCGCCCGCCGCTCCGCCTGAGGGCCCGAGACCTGTCGCTCCACTTGGGGGTCCGGCGCCCGCCGCTCCGCCTGGGGGCCCGAGACCTGTCGCTCCATCTGGGGGTCCGGCGCCCGCCGCTCCGCCTGAGGGCCCAAGACCTGTCGCTCCGCCTGGGGGCCCGAGACCTGTCACTCCATCTGGGGGTCCGGCGCCCGCCGCTCTGCCCGAGGGCCCGAGACCTGTCGCTCCGCCCGGGGGCCCGGTGCCTGCTGCTCCGCCCGGGGGCCCGCTGCCTGCTGCTCCGCCCGGGGGCCCGGTGCCTGCTGCTGCCCCCCGGGGGCCCGGTGCCTGCTGCTCCGCCTGGTGGCCCGCTGCTTCGCCTGGTAATCCGATGTGCCTCTGCCCAGAGTCCTGCCCGATGTGCCTCTGCCCGAGTCCTGCCCGGAGTCCAGCCCGATGTGCCTCTGCCCGGAGTCCAGCCCGATGTGCCTCTGCCCGGAGTCCAGCCCGATGTGCCTCTGCCCGGAGTCCAGCCCGATGTGCCTCTGCCCGGAGTCCAGCCCGATGTGCCTCTGCCCGGAGTCCTGCCCGATGTGCCTCTGCCCGGAGTCCTGCCCAGTGTGCCTTTGCCCAATGTGCCTCTGCCCGGTGTGCCCCTGCCCGGTGTGCCGCTGCCCGGAGTCCTGCCCGGTGTGCCGCTGCCCGGAGTCCTGCCCGGTGTGCCTTTGCCCAATGTGCCTCTGCCCGGTGTGCCCCTGCCCGGTGTGCCGCTGCCCGGAGTCCTGCCCGGTGTGCCGCTGCCCGGAGTCCTGCCCGGTGTGCCAGTCTTTGATATCCCGCCAGTTACCAGACCCGGGCGGTGGAACATTTTGCCCAGCTAGGACTGTTTGGAGCGTCCTGAGGCCGCTCCTTGAGGGGGGGGTACTGTCAGGAATGGACTAGCCAGCAATGGTGGGACTCACCTGCCTTTTGATCTGCAGTACCAGGGCTGGCCAGCGGATGCTCCCAGCAATCAGAGACTCAACTTTGCAGCCAGCTAACACCTGGAACTGATTATGCTGGGGTACTTAAGGGATGGCCAGACCCGCAGACTCTGCCTTGGTGTTGTGTTTCTCTTGGGCCCTGTATCCTGTTCCTGCTCTCTGTTCCTGTCTGATTCTCTGCTACCTGTTCTGATCCCTGGCTTGTCTGACCATCCCTCTGCCTGACCCTCTGTACTACGCTGCCTGCTACCTGTTCTGATCCCTGGCTTGTGACCCTGACCATCCCTCTGCCTGACCCTCTGTACTACGCTGCTAGCTACCTGCTGAACCTGGCCTGTGACCCCGACCAATCTCCGCTTGCTCCCCCTGTACCTACCTGCCCAATTGATATTGACCCGGCCTGCCTGACGACGCTTGCTTGTATGTACTGTTATCTGTGGGTGGTTGGTTTGGTTTGTTTGCACTGTATTATGTTTAGTATTGCACTGCGTTTATGTTTGTATTGTTAGTGTTAATAAATTATATTGTTTATCACATATCTGAGGTCTGCGTTTCCCTGCGTCAGTCACACACCTCTGGTCACACCTGGGAGCCCTGACAGTTATTATAGAGAAAAAACAGAGTTTAACCATAGATGCAGCTATTTATAAACTTGTTGTACAAAAATACATGAACATTGTATTTAGAGATGAGCGAATCGAACATGACGAAGTGGAATTCGTTTCTAAGATTAGGAAAAATTCGATTCGCGCCGAATCCGAAAATTAGCAAACTTCGGATGCACGAATCGAATTTTCCCAAAAATGGTGGCGACATGTGTGGCGACGGAGCGGGGATCTCTGGGAAGGCGCGCAGACAAGGCGCGCTGACCCATAATGCATTCATTCATGACATGTGATCGCATTAGCCAATCAGCAGCCAGCCAGCCAGCACTGTGTAATGGTGGAGCTATAAATCGCGGCCATCTTAGAATTCTCCATTAGCCTCCGGTCATTCAAGAGAGACAGACCTGTCTGTATTAGGGACAGAGTTAGGGCCACAGAGACTTTAGGGCCACAGAATCGTTACTCAGGGACACAGAATCGTTACTCAGGGACACAGAATCGTTACTCAGGGACACAGAATTGTTACTCAGGGACACAGAATTGTTACTCAGGGACAGACACAGAATCGTTACTCAGGGACACAGAATCGTTACTCAGGGACACAGAATCGTTACTCAGGGACACAGAATCGTTACTCAGGGACACAGAATCGTTACTGAGGGACACAGAATCGTTACTGAGGGACACAGAATCGTTACTCAGGGACACAGAATTGTTACTCAGGGACAGACACAGAATTGTTACTGAGGGACACAGAATTGTTACTGAGGGACACAGAATTGTTACTCAGGGACAGACACAGAATTGTTACTGAGGGACACAGAATTGTTACTGAGGGACACAAAATTGTTACTGAGGGACACAAAATTGTTACTGAGGGACACAGAATTGTTACTCAGGGACACAGAATTGTTACTCAGGGACAGACACAGAATTGTTACTGAGGGACAGACACAGAATTGTTACTGAGGGACACAGAATTGTTACTGAGGGACAGACACAGAATTGTTACTGAGGGACACAGAATTGTTACTCAGGGACACAGAATTGTTACTCAGGGACACAGAATTGTTACTCAGGGACACAGAATTGTTACTCAGGGACAGACACAGAATTGTTACTGAGGGACACAGAATTGTTACTAAGGGACACAGAATTGTTACTGAGGGACACAGAATTGTTACTCAGGGACAGACGCAGAATTGTTACTGAGGGACACAGAATTGTTACTGAGGGACACAGAATCGTTACTCAGGGACACAGAATTGTTACTTAGGGACACAGAATTGTTACTGAGGGACACAGAATTGTTACTCAGGGACACATAATTGTTACTCAGGGACAGACACAGAATTGTTACTGAGGGACACAGAATTGTTACTGAGGGACACAGAATATTTACTCAGGGACAGACACAGAATTGTTACTGAGGGACACAGAATTGTTACTGAGGGACACAGAATTGTTACTGAGGGACACAAAATTGTTACTGAGGGACACAGAATTGTTACTCAGGGACACAGAATTGTTACTCAGGGACACAGAATTGTTACTCCGGGACAGACACAGAATTGTTACTGAGGGACAAAGAATTGTTACTGAGGGACACAGAATTGTTACTCAGGGACAGACACAGAATTGTTACTGAGGGACACAGAATTGTTACTGAGGGACACAGAATTGTTACTGAGGGACACAGAATTGTTACTCAGGGACACAGAATTGTTATTCAGGGACAGACACAGAATTGTTACTGAGGGACACAGAATTGTTACTGAGGGACACAGAATTGTTACTCAGGGACACAGAATTGTTACTGAGGGACACAGAATTGTTACTCAGGGACACAGAATTGTTACTCAGGGACAGACACAGAATTGTTACTGAGGGACACAGAATTGTTACTCAGGGACAGACACAGAATTGTTACTGAGGGACACAGAATTGTTACTGAGGGACACAGAATTGTTACTCAGGGACACAGAATTGTTACTGAGGGACAGAATTGTTACTCAGGGACACAGAATTGTTACTCAGGGACACAGAATTGTTACTCAAGGACAGACACAGAATTGTTACTCAGGGACACAGAATTGTTACTCAGGGACACAGAATCATTGAATTAAAGAGTATGTCAGACAACATGCAGAGGAGTGGCAGAGTAGGCAATGTTTTAGGAGCGAGCAGACGTGGCAGCAGAGGAAGGGGTCGAGGCAGCACTAGTCGCAGCCAGAGGCCAGTGCTCCCGGTGTCATCCAGCGGTCGTGTCTCCACCGACAACCCTGCCGTCATCGATTGGTTGGCTCGGTCGTCTTCCTCTTCCCAGGTCACCTCTGACACCTACAGCCAATGGTCGGTGGGTACGTCAGACACAACCGTTAGTTGGCATGGCTCGGGAGCAAGCCCACTGAAATCACGCGTCCTCTACCTGCCCCTGTCCTTTGGTGTTCCCTCACCAAGCGAAGTATCGCATGCTGTGGGCTCAGCCCCACTGTACAGTGAGGAAGAGCTAACAGAGGGCGGTCAGGAACGGGGGGAGACATCCGCCTCTTCAGCAGCCAGGCGAAGAAGTACTGGCGAGGAGAGTGGCTCGGTAGCCGGTCTAGAGACAGGTCTGTCTCCTGACCCACACGCAGCCGAGGGGGCTAGTAGTGAGGCGGAGACCCTAATTGATGATGATGAGGCTGATCGCACTTGGCAGCCTCGTCGTCATCAGGCTATTGCTTCCGCATCATCAGGAGAAGAGGGTGCCAGCTTGGCAGTGAGCAAAACAGTCGGTGGGTTGCCCAGGAGGCAACAGGGTCGCAGCAGTGTCAGTGGAGGCAAACGGCCACGGAGTAGAGCACCAGCTCCACTGCAGCCTACCACCACAGCCAGTAGTGGTGCCGGTGTGCACGGAGGAAGTAGCAGTCAGCCAGTGAGGAGTAGCGGGGGCAAAGTTTCCTACTCGGCGGTGTGGCAATTTTTCGTCAAGCCGTCCGAGGAAGTAAAAGTAGCCGTTATGTCGACTATGTCGCCAGAAAGTCAAGCGTGGCCAGGGGGCCAATGTTGGGACTACAGCGTTGCGGGAGCATATGCAGCGTCGCCATTTGGTGGCCTGGGAAAACCGTGATAAAGATACGGCGGTTCTGCCTGCCCCAGCCCCCGCTCCATCACCCGCTCCGTTACTTGCTGCTCCGTCACCCGACGTCAATCGCCCTCTATCAGCCAGTCAAGGCTCCAACACCTCTGCTGAGGGGAGTTGTCGCTCGTTGGCATCTTCCGCTCGTTCAGATGCTCCTTCTCCTGCTACTCCTCTTCACGGATTCCGTCAGCAGTCTTTCTTGGAATCCGTTTCCAAGAGACAACAGTTTGCGAGCACGCACCCGACGGTGCAGAAGCTGAATGTCCTCCTGTCCAAGTTGCTGGTGCTGCAGTCCCTCCCTTTCCAAGTGGTGGACTCAGCACCTTTCCGAGAAATGATGGCTTGTGCCGCGCCGCGGTGGAGAGTGCCAAGCCGGCATTTCTTTCTTCTCCAAAAAGGCAGTGCCAGCCCTGCATTCACATGTAGAAGAGATGGTGGGCCAGTCTTTGAGCATGTCGGTCTCTGCCAAAGTGCACGGCAGCGCCGACGTGTGGAGCTGTAACTACGGTCAGGGACAGTACATGTCATTTACGGCCCACTGGTGTGGGGTGAACGTGGTGCCGGCACAGCCGCACCAGCA